TCTTGAAGCCGTCCGTCCCGTGTAAGCCTGTCCCTAGAGGCCTCCAGAGCGCCCGTAATGTCACGTCATGGACTGTTTTGTGTTTGTTTTCCTCCACGTGTTCCATGTTTTCCATGACCTAGTTTCTCCCGGGTTTCCTGCCCATATTTGGTTTTCCTGTTCCTGTTCCCATTGAGTTCCATTTGTTTCAGCTGTGTCCCGGTAATCTCCTCGTTTAGTTCTGAGTACTTAAGCCCTGTGTTTTCCCATGTCTAGCGTCCAGTGTGAACGTCTATGTTGTGCTACATGTGTCTCCAGCCAGCCCTGTATTACCCTAGGTTTATTTATTAAAGACCGTTGTTCGTATTTATCCTTCGTCTCCGCGTTCCTTGCTCCTCTCCGTAGGCAATCGTGACAGAACACTGGACCTGAAACAATAAGCGACGCCCCCTCTCCTCATTTTGGTTTCCGTTTTGAAAGTGTTTTGTTTTCCGTGCCCCCCCCGCCCGAATCATGGATAATGCCGCAAAATTCTCCGCCCTAGCCTGCAGGGATCTCACCTTTTGTCGAGTTTATGGAGAATTCTGCGGGCTCGCCATTATGACGGCGCTGGATGACGCAACGCTGAATTCTCTGTTCTGGATTGGGGCCAACTACCATCGCCCCGTCGACCTCCCAGACACCACAGGACTAAGCTGGAGGGAAGGGATCCTCCGGTGTCTGGAGAGTGTCCGGCCCCGATTCAGAACCAGCTCGGCGTCAAGCCCGCTGTCTGTTCAGCAGTCAAGCCCGCCAGCCGCTCCGAAGTCAAGCCCGCCGGCCGTCCATTGTCAAGTCCGCTGGGCAATTCACTCCCAAGCCCTCAGCTGACAGTAGCAGTCTCCTTCACCTCTGCTCATAAAAGGAGAATGCGGAGGAAGAGACTGTGGGCTCCAGCCCTTGAGTCCGCTCCAGTGTCGGCTCCAGCCCCTATTCCCACGTCCAGCCCAGAGAGGGCTCCTGTTCCCAAGTTAAGCCCAGAGAGGGCCGCTGCTCCTACGCCAGGCCCACGGAGGGCCTCAGAGCCCGACATTTCCCCCAAGGAATTTTTGCAGGGGGGCTATAGGGCACCGGCCATAGAGGCCGGGCCTAGGACAAGGCCACGGAGGCCGCTCCGCCATGGCCCCCTGAACTGTCTGCTCCGCCATGGCCCCCTGAACTGTCTGATCCGTCATGGCCCCCTGAACTGTGTGCTCCGCCATGGCCCCCTGAACTGTCTGCTCCGCCATGTCCCCCTGAACTGCCTGCTCCGCCATGGGTCTCGGAACGGGTACCGCTCTGGAAGCCGTCCGTCCCGTGTAAGCCTGTCCCTAGAGGCCTCCAGAGCGCCCGTAATGTCACGTCATGGACTGTTTTGTGTTTGTTTTCCTCCACGTGTTCCATGTTTTCCATGACCTAGTTTCTCCCGGGTTTCCTGCCCATATTTGGTTTTCCTGTTCCTGTTCCCATTGAGTTCCATTTGTTTCAGCTGTGTCCCGGTAATCTCCTCGTTTAGTTCTGAGTACTTAAGCCCTGTGTTTTCCCATGTCTAGCGTCCAGTGTGAACGTCTATGTTGTGCTACATGTGTCTCCAGCCAGCCCTGTATTACCCTAGGTTTATTTATTAAAGACCGTTGTTCGTATTTATCCTTCGTCTCCGCGTTCCTTGCTCCTCTCTGTAGGCAATCGTGACAACTTTATTTATGTTCTCATTAATTGTATGTTATAATGTTATTTTATGACCCTACTTACTTATTGCACATTACTAGTGTGAGTGAAGATTTCATTGGTGTATGTTATTCTAAAGCAAAAAATTAAATCTTAAAATTTAATACAGATCATGGAGTTATCCATACAATAATCTGAACTGTGCACTCTGCGGGGCACTTTGAGAAAAATCTCAATTTAATTCAGAAAAATACACCATTCACTCCATAGCTCATAATTTTTGAATGGACAAATAATGTGAAAAGTGTAAAATGTGACAGCTCTGAGAATTTATTGTGATATTTTGTGATAAAAATGGTCTGTTATTTTCATGATATGATTGAACCACATGCATTATTATTGCAAATGGACAAAAAGGAGAACATTAAACACCAAGATCTTTCCACTGTCGCCTCAGAAATCATTTGACTGAAATGGAAGGTAAACAATGTGTTCTTCTTATATATACTGTATATATACTGCAGATACAGTAAGGCACTTACAATGGAAGTAAACAGGTCCAGGTAATAAAGGTTTAAGGTTAAAGGCACAAGACTTTATATTATATGTGTTACCTTGACACTAGTGTGATAGGATCGCTTACCAACTATGTCTGTGCAAAACTGTAATCAATATTTCAACATATGAAAAATGTAAAGTAGACTCATTCTGCGTCAAATCAACCGGAGGGCCCTGCTCAAAATGTTTGTTTTTTTTTCTGGTGAAAGAAATGCATAAATAATGATGAAAGCCAAAATAT